GTTAGAGTGATGCGTGTGGGATATCCAGGGTGATCCAGTGTATGTGAACAGTGAGATGTTTGTGCGCTGAGGTCGCCATAGCCAATTGGGAGTGAACTCGTATCTGAAAACCATATCTCTGAGTTTTGAGTGGGCGCACGTCGCCATTGTGCTGCGTTACTGTTTACATGTGTGAAAAGTGTGTTTGAAAACGAGTCTGATTGCATACTTCCGAATTATTAAAAAAAGAATTTTGAAAGAGAATTGTGAAAAAGAACTAATTGATCATGATGTATTTTCGAATTTCAAGAAAAATAAATAAAAAAGGAATTTTATGAATTTAAAATATATGAGAAAAAGAGCTAGTTAATTTTTTTTCCCAGAATTTCAAAAAAGAAATGTCGATAAAGAATTAATTAATTCTAAGGTATTTTTAAAAATTACAAAAAAGAATGAATTAAAAGTATTTTTTAATTTTGAAAAAAACAAAATAACTAATCAGAAAGTATTTGTGTGAGAATTAACAAGGAGGAGTTTAACAAAAGAATTAACAAGTCATATTTTGTGAGAAAGGAGTTCGAAAAGGGAAGGAAAAGGTGAAATTGCAAATTAATTCCAAATGGCTAAGTTCGAAAAGGAAAGGAAAAGCTGAAATTGCAAATTAAAGAGGAGGAGTTTAATGAAAGATTGAAAAGTTGAAGAAAGTTAAGTAATGTTGAATTAGTATTATTTGTGTGGGAAGTAAGGAGATCAAAAATTTTGATTACAACAATTTCAAATGGATTTTGAAGAAGAGGAAAAAAAAAAGGAAACTAGGCTACGAAAGTGGCCCGGGGCCACTTGCCCGGCCAGGCCAAAAAAATATAAAAAAAATAAAAACCTAAAAATTACTTTTAAACTATTTTTATTTTAAATATGGTAAAGAATTTCAATGTGACCCTGGGGCAAAAAGTTGTTCAGTTTATTTTCTTGATAACTTTGTTTTTCTTTGGATTTGTTTGATTTTTTTATTTTTATTTTTTGCTAGGAGCTCACCTAGTCCTTGCACGACCGGGCCGTCCTGGAAATTAGCGTGACCCGGGCGGCCCGACTGGTAACCCAGTAAGGAAATATATAACTAATTAAGTAAATCAAGGGTAGATCGATCCTATCTATGATTGGATGATTTGCTAGTAGTATTAGGGTAGGGTAGATAGGTAAAGGGGAGGGGGAGGGGGGGACATGCCCCGCACATG